CAGTCACTCCATTGACTAAGCACTGTAAGCCATAGGCGACGAGGATAAAGCAACAACCTGTATAACGACAATACAAGGCACTTCCGCGTCTACCTCAGAGAATGTAGTTGGATGTCACTGTCGCAGGTAGTTGCAATAAGAAACAATGGTTCCTTGGTCTTGGCGTGCATGTGTTACGTTGTAGCTAGTAACTCGTTTGCTTGTTGCCTCTGCTGCATCAGTTATTCCAATCGGCTGTTTCTGTTCGGTCATATGGGCTCATGTCCTCGTTTCATTTTGAGTTCAATCCGTAGAGATTTTCTACCACTGTTGCACCGTCAGAGGGTCGCACGCGTAAAATTGAATCGAGCGGCTTTCGGATGATTGATGGGTCGATGAGAGAGTCGCAGGAAGTTGTGTGGATGGATCACCATTCGCCCGTGCGGCTCACTGAAGACGGCGGTCGCTTTTCGTGTTTGGACACGTAGGGTTGGGTTTCGTCGAGCGAGTCCCGGAATGTGAGTGCTGTTCCGTTTGCTCAGCCATCCATCCGGCAAGGTGTGCTGCTTGTCCATCGACAGATGCACGGCCGGCGACAGCGTTTAATTAGTTTAATTGGTCTTGGCCGGCTGACGTGTGTCCTCAGTATCGAAGGGAATCGAATTTCGCTCGACTAACAAATGACACGTCGACCTGTCGCTCCTCAAAGCAACTCCTGCTGGCAGTGATGATTTGCAACAATGACAGCAACGTATACCCCTTTTGATCGGCCGCCGCTCGGTCGAAAGCGGCTCGCTTTGAGCGAGACACCTCGGCAATGGGCCCGCTGCTGGTGGCTATTTGACACCGGTTTCCTTCGCTCCTCTCCTTCATCGGCGTCCCCTCGGATCTTAAATCTTTCGCCGAGCTGTCACCCACAGAATGGCATGATTGATGGCATGACGATGGGTGTAGTACGGCGGCACGCGTCATGAATATTAATCTGACACAGCACCCGTACCATCATTTGCAGTAACACCGTCTTCAGAATCTTTATGCATCTCCATCTACCTTCCGTTCAAATTCTCCTCACCAGGTCCTACTGAATGACATGATTCTTAATGACCCCATTCTGCATACACGGCCGTTGAACTTTCGCCTACTCTCTCAAATATAGTTGCTGCTGCCCCACAAGTGCAACTAAGGTCATACGCCAAGTAGTATGGCTAGAGTACCTCATTGTGATAGTATTCCTTTCTTTTACATAAAGCTCCCTGCAACACTCTGCAATTAAAGGCTTATTTTCTTAATGCGAAATTGTTTTTTAACGTGCATTTATTTCAGTAACCTACCAATTAACTTTAACTTCAAACCAGTTCATTGTTCCCCTGAATCTTTCTCTGAAAGACAGCATTTGTTTTAAACATTGTACATTATTCCCTAAACAAAATGGCAACGGTCTCTCACCGGTCCAAAGTAGGGAAACCACTGATTTCTGCTGTCAACGGTTCGTAAATTCCAAAATCATGCAACAGAGGCAACGCGCCAATAAATGTTATTTATGGTGACCATGGCCGTAAATAATCCAGGTGGTTATTAACGAAGATGGTTTGAATTGTGAGTCTTTCACACAAATAGGGCGGCAGCAAAAGCCGAATCACCGTACAAACTCAATGGGCGACGAAAAAGCCAGTGC